CTCTGCCACAGTGTCAGCAGCCACCTAGACTCCTCACCCGAGAGCAGCGAGGCCGGGGCCGATATTCCCATTTCACGAAATGGTAAGCGGAGTGACAGTTGGCGAGGTCAAGGCATCTGGGCTGGTATAAGCACATTGAGTAGCAAACTTGTTAACCAATTTTCTGAATTTTTGCAGGGGATGGAAAGTAATTTCTTATTTGCATAAATGTTGGTTCTGCAACCAATACTTGTCAGTGTGGGCTAATCTGTTGACCATTTTTTCAGGTTTGTCTACAAAATGTCAGACTGTTTTTTTTTTAATGAAAATTCACATAAAAAATTCCCAGAGCCCAAGCTCATGTCTTCACATTCCGGTTTTAAAATCCATGGATTAATGTAATGATATAATGATATAAATTGAAAAAGTACAGCAGATTTTGGAGCCTTTTATCTTTATGCAGTTTATGACCCAAGCATTTCATTGAAAGGCCCATTTTTTTATTCTTGCCTATTTCTTTTGACCAATTAATACTAATTTCAGGATTCAATAATGGTTATTTGTGTCCATAAAAACATAAGAAGTAGAAGAGCTTTTCTGTGTGTTCTCCCAGATCCATGTCTCACACTGAGTAAGTAGAAATACAGTATAAAAGACTGAAAATAAACATTTCCCTGGGTGTCCACAGAGCGGCAGCAGATCCTAAAGGGTGTACAGAACATTGTAGTAAAAGCAGCCCGTCGACGCTCCAAAGCCTTGGAGCTGGATGCCTTGCGGTTACCCCCTCCCTACTCTCCATTGGACCCCACGAAGCAGAAAAGCAGTCTTTCTTTGAGCGAGGTACCCCCCAGAGCTTTGCCGACACGACGTGGCAGGCAGCCGAGCCCCGAGCTCAGACATGCCACCTCGGATGATAACCTGTCCAGCAGCACTGGAGAGGGACCCGGCTTGCCGGTGACCTGGACGCGCCCACGTAACCGTCAGGTACCTACTAAGAACCAAACACCCAGAGAAGTGGACTTTGAGGCTCGTCGCAAGAAGAGACGCTCACGCTCTTTCGAGGTCACTGGTCAAGCAGTGAGTATTTTCTATTTAGATATAGATGTAGATTTCCAACATGGCTGATGGCTGACATACTGTCTATACAATATAAAGTATTTTCTACTAACACAACTAAAAGACAGACAACACTGGGATTCCGTTGCTTTCCACCTCTGGTTTGTCCTGATATTACAAGTGCCATGTCATATGTGTGTACATTATCAGTAGCTCAGTGTAACATGACTAATCAGTACTTTAAAAAAATACAAATGTGAGTGTAAGTATTCTTCTTAGTTGTGTTCATATTTTTCACACTTTAACTAGCATTTTTTTCTTAAATCAAAATGTACTGATACAAGCATTGCAGGTTGGTGCTGTGTACTGTTTATTTCTGCATTATTTTTCCCACCTTATGTATAGGTGTAGTGTCGGCCATGTGGGAACTATGTCTTTCAGTCAGTCATTTCTCCTTCTTGTCCTTTGCAGCTTCCTCAAACCAAGACAGCCACTGCTCAGAGGTTCCGCCCTCTGGACAGTACATCAGACTCGCATCTCCACATTAACGGCCAACCCCAGGTCCCCATGCTGCGTCCCCAATACAGAGGAGTCCCTCCACTTGCCAAAGTCAGGGCACCCCACAACGGCCAGTCAACAGGTAAACCTCTGTCCCTGCCAGAGGAGAGATGGTGACATTCCCCCTTTAACTGTCTTTTTCTTGAGCTTTGTCTTTACTGTCTCCTGTCTCTCCACAGCTCTAAATGCAGAGTCCTCCACAGCCCACATGAATAATCTGAAGCGAGGGCCCCAGCTGCGGCAGCCCCAGCCCCTCCGCTTCATCACCACCACAGGCCAGCGCACACGCAAACACTGAGCCATCAGCACCATTCACTCTTAACACCAGCACTAACACTCAAGCTAGCTGAACCAAGAGGGGTATCCTCTAATAACTGGAGAGCGCACGCACTCACACACACCCATAGCCCCTCAGTGACTGACACAAGGTAAGATTGAGAGGCAGTATGATGGAGACTAACCAGGCAGCAGATGGTTACCTCCACATAGGTCTCCTGTGTATTTTATTGTGGCGCCGACAGGATCTGTGACCCTTACAAGCGCACAGGTGCCAGAGATGGCTAACATACTGTGCATGTTCTGTTCTGTCAAGTGTTTCCACTTTAGCTTGCTATAGTACTGAATTACTTGTGTTATCGTCAAGTCAGGATGGTGTCAATCTCACTGTGAATGCAACACTGTAGTTGTGTTTGTACGTTATGACTATATAATGTCTGGTAACATTTGGTGCTTGTTATGAAGGCCAGAAACTGAATCGTCAAGCTAACTGGGGCTGTTTATGGGGCTAAACCTCACTGTAAAAAGGTACTGAGGGAAATGACTGGCTTTATTCAACACTGGTTTAAAAGGTGAGCGGATGTTATACTGATGGAAATGTAAAAGTGGAATAAGGAACAGTGGCCTACTGTCAAAGTGTTTCAGCATCATTGTTTCTTGTAGTGAGGTTGTTTCATTTTAATGACATGCTGAGATTTTAAAAAACTGACCATCTTGATTGTTGTGCACTTCTGGATTTAATCTCAATGTTGTATTCTCATACACCCCAGGTCGATGCCTTTTTTGTTACCCAAACTCGACTGTTAAATGTCCTCCTTGATTGTGTTAATTTAAAGTTTAGTACCATAAGATGCTTTTCCAGATTAGTTGGCTGGATTTTAATGAATTATTTAACTGTTGCCTTTTCTTTTGTTATTGTTATTGTTTTCATAATTACTACTTTCTATGATTTATTTTGTAATTTTTTTATTTGTATCCAAATAAATTAAAACAAAATATGTCAAATTTTGCTTATTTTGTTTGTCTGTATAAATTGTGTGTTTGCAGGACAGATGCTCAATTTTTTTTTACCATCTTCAACAAGGTGCTGCATGTAGTGGTTAAAATAAAATACAAAAGGCAAACAATTGGCACTGAGAAAGCTTCAAATCAGCATATAAAGGAATGAATACATATCAGTACTTACACTGATATGGTTTAGAACAGTTTAGAACCCATGTTTGGGACTAAAATATTCTATAGTGTAACATCATGGATGTGTGAATGTGTACAGTGTAACTACACGAGACTGCTGATCTGATCAGATATATTCTACAAAGTCCACGAGATGGTGCACAGTGTGCTCAGTTTGGCAAAAGATGATTGACTTCTCCAGCATCCAGGTGGTAGTGCCTGCAGAAAATATTTGGTGGAGGGGCCAGTGGAAATGTTGGGGTGGCACACTAAAAAGGTTTTACAGCATAGTGGAAATTCAGGCTATACAAGTTAACAGAAAGGTAAGGATACTATATTACAGTGTAAAATAAACTGCATACTGTTTAATTTTCTTGGTTGATCTAAAGTCAATATCATCCGATTTTGATATTTACAGATCAAAGAGTCATGAATTATTTAATTCGATTTGAATATATCATCTGCAATCAATCAAGCGTGGGCTAATTAATGTCCACCACTACTATTTAACACTATTTGCAAGTATCCTCCATTTTTTATCTGTCCTTGTAAGTTGTGTTTATTTTTAACGTATATTGTTAATCACACTGTACAGCACTTTGGTCCGTCTCGGTTGATTCAGTGCTTTATAAATAAAGTTGGTATGGTATTTTTAGAATCTAGCCTTGAACCAAAGTTTTAAATGTATATCGGTGTTGCAAAGACTGGGGCTTGTCACTTGTGGGGGGCCCGGTGGAGTGGCCAGTAATTATAGGATGGGGGCACCATTGACGGTGATCAACACTGTCCACCTAAGGTCAGGTGAGCAGAAGCACCAGTGCTCCACGGGGCATTCAGGCACCAAAGTGCCTGATGGCAGGGCTGGAAAATTCTTTGAATTTAGTGCGATGCATTTGCTATTGTTTTGTGCATGTTCACATTGACCACAATACAATTAGCTTATTTATAATTAACAATAATTAACTTGGATAAAGGGCAGGTGCTTGAGCCCCTAGATGAGTGTTTTAACTTGGAAATGAGTTCTTTTGCAACAAAGGGGTTAATCACACAGTGTGTCTCATCTTCCTGGAATGAGTCACAGCCTGATAACCCTCCCTCTTCTCTCAGACGCAGCAGCTCCATTCTGTCCATATATTTCCTTGTTGCCACACCTTCGGATCTACAGTTCGAAGATGGGTGTAACCAATATGTGGTGAAGTGCAAGATTAGACAGACCCCATTTGCTGCAGAAACACACTGTGTAGCTCAGCTCAAATTAGATTAATTTGTCAGAAAGTGAAACTCAGTCGTTGCTACTAAGAGGTGAAATGGCACAGAGAAGAGCTCAGCTGAACCAGGAAACCTTCTCTTGTTCCATCTGTCTGGATCTACTGAAGGATCCGGTGACTATTCCCTGTGGACACAGTTACTGTATGAACTGCATCAAAAGCTTATGGAATGACGAGGATGAGAAGAAAACCCACAGCTGCCCTCAGTGTAGGCAGATGTTCACGCCAAGGCCTGTCCTGGTGAAAAGCATTATGTTAGCAGTGTTAGTGGAGGAGCTGAAGATGACTGGACTCCAAACTGCTGCTACTGATCACTGCTATGCTGGACCTGAAGATGTGGCCTGTGATTTCTGCAGCGGGAGGAAACGGAAAGCCCTCAAGTCCTGTCTGGTGTGTCTGGCATCTTACTGTGTCAAACACCTGCAGCCTCACTATGACGCAGCTCCATTACAGGAACACAAGCTGGTGGAACCCTCCAAGAACCTCCAAGAGAACATCTGTGCTCGTCATGATGAGGTAATGAGGATGTTCTGCCGCACTGACCAGCAGTGTATCTGTTATCTCTGCCCTGTGGATGAACATAAAGGACACAACATAGTCTTAGCAGCCGCAGAAAGGACTGAGAGGCAGCCAGAGCTTGAGGGGAGTCGACAAAAACTCCAGCAGAGAATCCAGGACAGAGAGACGTCAGCAGGAGGTGGAGGGCATCAGTCGCTCTGCTGATAAAGCAGTGGAGCACAGTGAGGAGATCTTCACTGAGCTGATACGTCACATGGAGAAAAGATGCTCTGATGTGAAGCAGCAGATCAGATCCCAGCAGGAAACTGAAGTGAGTCGAGTCAAAGAGCTTCAGGAGAAGCTGGAGCAGGAGCTCAGTGAGCTGAAGAGGAAAGACGCTGAGCTGCAGCAGCTCTCAAACACAGAAGATCACACCCAGTTTCTACATAACTACCCCTCACTGTCACCACTCAGTCAATCTACAGACTCATTCAGCTTCAATATCCGTCCTCTGAGGTATTTTGAGGATGTGACAGCAGCTGTGTCAGAGGTCAGAGATAAAGGACTTGACCTTCTGAGGGAGACATGGACAAACATCTCACTGACACTGACTGAAGTGGATGTTTTACTGTCAGAACCAGAGCCCAAGACCAGAGCTGGATTCTTAAATCATTCACATGATATCATTCTGGATCCAAACACAGCAAACGCACATCTGTTATTGTCTGAGGGAGACAGAAAAGCGACAGTAATGAGTCAAGAACAGTTTTATTCCAAACACCCAGACAGATTCACTGGATGTCGTCAGGTCCTGAGCAGAGAGAGTCTGAATGAACGTTGTTACTGGGAGGTGGAGCTGACAGGGAAAGTAACTGCTGTAGCTGTCACTTACAAGGATATCAACAGAACATATGCCTCAAGAAAAAGTATATTTGGACGCAATGAAAAATCTTGGGCGCTATACAGTCACCAAGGCAATTATCATATTTGGAACGACAACAGGCAATTTCGTGTCTTAGGTAAGCCATCCTCCAGACTTGGAGTGTATCTAGATCATAGAGCAGGTATTTTGTGCTTCTACAGTATTACTGAAACCATGACTCTCCTCCATAAATTCCAAACCACATTCACTCAACCTCTCTATGCTGGACTTGGGTTTGCTGAATATTTGGAAGGCAGTGCTGAGTTTTGTAAACCCAATTAGTTATTTGAGATGCAGTGGGTAAAAAGCTTAAACATTCTAGTTTTCCATATTTGTTGCTTAGAACCTAAACTGGCATGTCTCCACATGAAAATGTAAACTTTTCTGTGCTCTAATTGTTGAATGAATAATTGCATAAATATGTTTGTATGTTGTTGTGTCTCCTCCAAATCAACAGACTTCCCTTTATTGTGGATATTTTGTTGTCACCACTTTCTCAATGTGTAAAAAAAATCTATAATTACATTGGCATGTATTTATGTGGCAGACCAAATGTTGTCTAAATTTATGTACAGATAAGGCGTGTGGTATATGGGGATTTGAGCTGTTATAAAATTGTGATTATCATGATCCTAATAAATAAGGAAATCATTTGTCATTTACTTTTACACAGCTGAGATTTTGGTTGAAATGTAAATAAAGAGATTGTGTGGAGGTAGCAAGAGTAATTTCACATACTTTACTAATGTATTATGTGAACAAACAGAAGGTTTTCATAAGAAATACAGTTTTTAATCTTTAGCCTCAAATCTCACATCCACAACTTTTATTTACAACCTGAAAGCTGATGTGAATAATAGTTGTAACTTGGACACTCTTCTCTACCACATGAACTGAACGCGGCATCAGTGCTACCAAACGGACACAGTCACTTGATCTTGAACTTACAGGTTTTTTTTAATCAAGTTTGCGACCGATGGTACCTCTGAAAAATATTAAGGAAAAGAGTAAACACATACAAACAAATGAACAACTACAAAGCTTCATCCCAATATTAACGGATCGCTTGGTCCATGATTGTAGTTGGATGAAACTGAGTCGGAAATACCGCCTCCTCTGCGCTGATGCTACGGGCATAAGTTCTCTCCAATGACAAATCAGCTATTGTCTGATTGATGTGTAAATTGACCAATGAGCGATGAGATTACTGCTCTCGGGCGGTAGTGCACCTACAGCTGATTTGCAACCCGCCGAAGCAGCAGTAGAGAAGACGGGAAAATGTCGTTGGTCTCGACGTGGACCGTTCTAGGATCAGTGTGCTTTTAATAAAAGCCAGAAGGCAATTCGGTGAGTGGGATAGTCGTCACTAGCGGCATCCGAGTGATAGCTATTGAATTGGATTTGTGCTGCTCAGAACCGCAAATCGTACAAACCTAAATTTCTCCCCATTTTCTGTAACGCTTTTCGGGCCTGTTATACAAAAACCCAGCTCCAGCGGCCATGATGAATGTTAGTTAGTTGGTAGCTTAAAAGTATTGGCATAACTACAAGCCTGAGATTCTCGCAGTGCGCTAATATAGCAAGAGGACACGATAAAACATGTAATTGGTGATATTTTCTTAAAGTTATTTGGCACATTAGAGCTGTGTGGGCCACTCGCAGTCGTTAACGTTAGGGCACATTTGTTCCTTTCAAAAGTTAATAGACTGCTGGAGTTTATGCTTAACGTTAGTTTTGTGGAAACGCGGACAGACCCTGAAACAGCTGTCAGACGTTTATTCTCACAGAGAAGACAACTTTAATAATGTTTTTTTTTTTTTTTTTTTAAGTGTAACTTAGCACATGCAAGTGAAGCTGTGCGTAATGCATCTGGATCCGTTTTCTACTCTGGTGCAAGACAAGGAAGGGCTTTACATTAAATTTTGATTTCATTTTTTTGTGATAGAAGATATTCAATTTACTCTTGCAGAAAACCAACAAATATTCACATCTGAGTAACTGGAACCAGTTACAGTTTTTAAGCATCTTTTAATCAATTAGTGTTCCCGAGCTCTACAGTATGATTTAGTCATTTGTGATCATGTTAATGTTTGAATGCCTCACTCTGGTTGCTCCAGACTAATAATGATATTAGTTTTGTTTTAACCTATTTTCTTACGCAAAGAAACCATGTTGGAATTATTATTCATGCTTTTTATAACGTAAATACATCTCACAGTTTGTCTTATAATTATTTCAAATATATATATAATAATTTATTAGTCTACATTAAAATATATGGCCAGATGTCAGAGTTTCAGGAAACCTCTGTCTTTGCTATGTAGGACATTTGTGTGTCAAACTTTGGTTCTCTGAGGAGATAGGTAGCAGTGCCACTGGCTAGGTTTGCTGTTCCTCCAGCTAAATATGGTCTTAAATTGAATTGGTACACAGGGAATTTTAGCCAGACATCGATACAATTGCTATGCATAATATAGTCAGTGCATATCTTCAAATTTAATTAAAGCATTTGGTAAATTTGTAAATAATAAAATCAAAAGACTTTTCAAATTTGTTGAAATGTTTAGAAGGTAATTAGCAAATCTAACAAAACAACTTAAACCTCTGGCTCTAATCATGATTTTTCCTTCCTTTCAGAATGAAACTGCTGCTGTGGCGCTGTCATGAGTGATTTTAAGTTTCAGAGAGACTACAAAGAAAGTGAAATGTTCAACAGATTTTTGCTTGCCAGAAGAGAAGGTGTCAGCTCAGCTTTAACTGTAACCATTTGAAAAGAGAAGGGTATACTGCAGCTCTACATGGGCCTCTAAGCTAACCTGAACAGATAATAATAATAATAATAATAAGGGTGTCTTGAACCTCCATCAGCTAGAAAGGTAAAATTTCAGCCAAGACATGGACCCATCTACTCGGGTGGTGGGTCTGGATGCCCAAGGGAACATGGTTTTTACAGTAGTAAAGCCAGTTATGGGCATCTTTCAGGTATCTTCAGAACAAGCAAACAGCGTAGCACAAGGGGGCATGGGCCTACAGGGTTTATCAGAAAACACGCTGGTCCTCCCTCAAATACAAGGCCAGGCTCCACTCGACCAGAACCAGGTGGAAATACAGACCATACAGTCTCATATTCAGCCCCAGATGCAGGTTTCTGCCCAAGTCCTGACTGAGGATGTGTCTCAGAGTCAGGAGCTGCCAACAAACTCAAGCATAAATTCAGAGGCAGGCACCCAGATGCCATTTGCAGAGGTGTCGTCACTCCTGGATCCCAACATGAAAGGATCAAAGGCTAGTAAGTGGCCAGTTGTTTTTTGATGATGTGAAAGCTTTGGGGTTGGGTTAGGATCCCTAGTTCCACTTTGCTTCTGGTTCCAAGTCGGTAAAATACTAGCCTTGAATCATTTACATCTTCTCTTTTTTTATTACCAGAGAGCTTTGTCCTAAATATTCAGGTAGTCACTTATCTTATAGCAAATAAGCTATTCTTATATTCTTCTTTAAATTCTTTTTTTTAAGGATTGTATGTATGTGTGTGTGAATGTTAACTCATTCACTTCCTCCTGTCTATGATTTTAGGAAAATATCTCATCTCGTATGATGAAATTAAACGGCGCCTGCAGGCCCCAGAGAAGATGTCCCTGCGTTCCTTGGCAGCATACACTCGGGTCAGCAGAGGTCCAGCCAGCAAGAAAACACTTCTGGAATCGCTTAATCTCCTCGGCCTCACGCCAAGCACAACTACCTCTGTATCCTCCTCGTTTTCCAAACTGACTGAAGGTGACAGATGTGTGTGTGTGTGTGTCTGTCTGTCTGTGTGTGTGTGTAAGAATGAAACTCAAACATGTTTTAATTTGTGTTCTTAGGCGACACCGGGGCTTTGTGTGAGGATATGAAAGACTTTGCCCAAGATTTCATTGACTACGCTAACATGGCTAAGCAGCTCATCCCTGAGACAAATACAGTTCAACACTGGTCCAAAATTATTGAAACTAAGTACGTATGTCCTTGCCTTCAAGCCTGTTTTTATTTATAACTTGGGATAAAGGTGTAACAACCCTCTCTTTTTTTGTCTCAGGAACCACCTTGAGGATATGAGAAAATGTTTCAAGGACCCAGTCAACAGTGGTGCGTTTGACAATGTCACTCATGGCCTTGGTCTGGGAATGTTGGATGTTGCGTTGGACATGATCATTATGGTAATTGAACAGCAGATTCGAATCTTGTCTGGTGCGGCAGCATCAGACCCAACTGACCCTGGTCCACTGATGCGGCGCATCCGCAGGCGCCACCGCAAAACTCGCTCAACAGACAGTGAGGTGCCTCACAAGGTGTCTGGAGGGGTCAAAGAGCAAGGGAAGGTCATTTCAAAAGGCAAGGGGCGAGGCAAAGTCAGGAAGAAAAGACAAGAAACTGAAGCCGTTGCTTCTGTGGAAACCCAAGCAGAGCTGGGTAAGCCAGATGACGTGGAAGGTAATGTTCTTACTCTGGTCTCTGTGGGATATGAGACTGTCTCTAATGGTCTCAGTGCAGCCGGAACAGTTTGACATCTGGTCACATGAGAGAGCATCTCATTCATAGGGATGCTCAGTTATGGGACATGAAATCTGCTCATGCTGGCCTGCATGGAGGTCACACAATATCACATTGGATAAATCCCTTTTCTATTTCCTCCTTTATTGCTCTGTGATCCTCGCTCCACCAGGAAGTCGCTCTGGTCCACCACCTCGAAGGACTTCCCAGTGCTCTTATACTTGCTCTGATGAGTGAGGAATGAGGAGGCTGCCTGGAGGAGCCATGACCAAAGATACAAGAGACCGCTTTCATAGACGTCTTTTCTTGGTTGGTACACCGCTTTATCAAAAATCATTTGGTGATCGGATAGTTCAGATTAAGGATCAGTGGAAAGGGTGTCTTGTGTCTCTAAAAATATGTTTCCTTGATTTGTTTTTCCTCGCATTTATTCCTCACATCTTACATAGGCAGGACAAAGACAAAGAAAAGACGCGAGCGAAGTGTGGATGCACTTAAGGGAATTGGGATGTGCCAATAGTAAAAGAGCCCACTTAATGGCAGTAACTTAACATGTTAGCTTTCTTGCTGAGTTAGATGAGAATGTTTGACGCTGTCGTGTCTGTGTGGTAACTAGCTGGAGCCAGCAGCTGGTCAGCTAGAGCAGCTTTGCATGGACTGGTAATCGGGGAGCAGCTAGCCTGGCTGTGTCTAAAGCTAAGCTAACCAGTTACTGCAACATGTTTACTATTTAGATATTAGACTGGTATCAACCTTATCTAACTTGGCAAGAAAGTTATTAAGCACATTTCCCCAAAATGTTGAACTATTCCTTTAAGTGAATCCTCTGTTTCAATAGTAGCAGAGTTTGTATGTACTTAGACATCCGATTAAATCACCCATGTAATATTTTTTTCATCCTACGCTTTCAGTGAATAAACAAACTGATATGTGATACATTGTCTTCTGTTTCTCTGTGGTACTTATTGTTTAGATTTTTAGTTTTTCTTTCTTTTCTTTACTAGAGTAGTAAAAATAACTTGTTTGTTTTTACCGGAACATCAAAAGCTGTGTAAGATATAAAGATTTGATTTTCATAACTACTTGGATTCTGTTATTGTCTTGTGATAGATGTCATAAAAGAACCAAACTCAGTCTAAACTTGGTGATCACTGAGTTAAAAGAGAATGGCTTAATTTAGCAGTTAAAGTGATTCACATACTGCTCACTGACTCATCAACACTGTGGCATTTGGTAATTACACAACTCCAGAGAGAAGAAAATCAAGGATATTAATTTTAACAAATGTTAGGGTTAAAATAAAATGCATTTGACCTTTTACATTCTGGGAAGAAAATGCCATCCATTAGTCCATGTGTACAAAAACATGCAAGATGTCTACCTGTCTGTGTTGTTGTTTTGATTTGGAAGGCATTGTGGGAGATTTCAGGGGTAGGGATGCGCTCAGCAGAATCAGCCAAGTACTAATACCTTACACACACACGTGCAGATGCCAGGGGGGGTCAGCTTTAGTGGGGATTTGCTCTGTATTAACCCTGAGAGAGATCAGAGGGCCTGCTGGAGACAGACAGACAGACATGTTTAAAAAAGAACAAAACAATACTGCAAGATGAGTGTAGTGCAGCAGTGTGAGTAATGTAAGATATGGTGTAGGTTTTTTTCAAGCTAAAGACTCCAAAGACTGGCACTAAAAGAAAGAAATCTGGCAATAGAAAAGCAAAAGGAGAATGACCATAAAAAACGCTGTTTATTTGGACTATAAACCTGAGAAAGGACAGGAGGGCAGAGGAGAATGGGATGTCCTAGTGTGCCGATCATGTACAGGTACATACATTCACATAGGGACAAACACGGATCCAGTCGACTGCAGCCTTACACACCGAATGGTAAGTTGATCACTGTCACAAGTCACAACTGATTTTTTGTAGTGTAAAGCTGGTTATCAGGAAATTTGGAATCTTGATGTGGTTGTAATAACTGTTTATTCATAGAGTTTACACACTTTGTTTCAGTAATGCTCATGCTTCACATTCACACTGGTTGCCTTGTTGTAAAGTAGTTGTTTTTTTAGGAAAAATGTTATTAATTTACACATTTTCACAGCTGATTCAGAGATTTAAACTTATACTTCCACATGCTGTTGTCTTTAGGTAATGCCGTAGTCTAGGTAAGGTCTGGGAATATGGTCCCAACAATAATAGTCACGATGTGTGACCTGCCCAGTGTTTGATTGTTGTGTCTTGTTGCTTTTCTTTTTTTGTCTCTCCTCTTTCCACTCACCCCAACCACCAAGAGCCGGGGTCTGTCGGAGGTTTCTTCCGTTAAAGGGAGTTTTTCCCCCCACTGTCTTCAAGTGCTGCTCAAGGGGATTTGTTGGGTTTTCCCTATGTAATAATAGTGATAACAGTAAGGTCTAGACCTTACTTTGTAAAGTGTCCTGAGATGACTTTTGTTGTGATTTGGCGCTATACAAATAAAATTTGATTTGATTTATGCACCCATACAGCATCCATACTTAATAGCTTTTTATTTGTGCTCCATTTTATGACTTTTAATATGTCTCAGTTTTCACACAGACAGTCTGAATAATGCGTTAGGTACCATCAGAGTCCTTGGATTGGAACTGATTGAGGATGAACTAAAACCACATCTGAACACAGTGCTGACTGACATTAAGGAGAGGAGTGAGTTGGTTCACATTCTTTTACACTGTGATATCTCATTACTAAATGGTATTTATTTTGGGCCATGTTATCCCTCAAGCTCCATCTACAACAGTCTGTTAGACGGCATAAAATACATACTAGGCTTCACTGTATAATGAGGAGCTTCACTTTAGTTTTTGTATGATAGTATGTCCTTCATTTGATGTGATTTGAAGTGCAAAATGCAGACACTTCTGTTGTCACATGCAGTTTACATATATATATGTTTCCATACCTCTATACATTGAGATAGCATGCCTGCCAACCCTAGTGGTGGCTTTATCATAACTTCTCTCCATTCTGAAAAATAAAACCTGTAACAAAACCTCACTGATGAGGGATGGAGAGCTGAGGGTTGGGAAGCTGTAAGGAGATGACAGTTGTAAATCCCTGGTAGACATTAAGCTGTGTTTGTGTCTTCCAGCAGGAGAGCAGCAGGGGGATAGAGAAGTAGAAAGGTAAAGATGGGTCAGAGAGTTCACAAAACAGTACAGGATTCAATCCAGTGCTGTTCTGTTCTAATGTTAAAGAGATACATCATTCAAAAACTACAGCTGATACAACTTGATAAACATATAGATCATGCAACTTCATTTTTGGCCTCGTATGTATTTGTATCAGCGTTTCGTTTTCCATGTGAGATCCTCTTGTGTCCAGAGAAAGGCGCTGCTGAGCAGGTCGTAATCAGTGGGATCCTGCCCATCCTGGCCCTGTCTCTGAGGAGCAGAGGTCCTCTCACTCTGCTCACCGCGAAACTTGTGGCTGAACTCGCCAAGGAATGTAAGTTTTCTATAGAGATATATGTTGGTCTATATATAAGTTTATTTACATATTATTTCATATATGCCTCAGGCTTTCACTTCTCTGCTTCCAGATGTCATTTTCTGTTGTCTGCCCTTAAAGCCTGCTGGCACTTATTTACCCTGAGTTTTTCTGTTACTTGTTAGCTGTGGTTCGTAAAGGTTTCGGTGATGCAGGCTTGGTTACAGCTCTTTTGTCAGTGCTGACCAGTACAGACCAAGAACTACTGCTTCACATTACAAGAGCCATCTCACGAATGTCTTATGACAGCTGTAAGTGAAGGACATCAGCTCCAACTTTGACACCAATTTTGACTGTATAAATGTTTTAAAATGCATTAGGCTCTAAATAATATTCTCCCCTTTTTATGGTCCTTTGGTTCCTTCAGCTAAGCAGCAAGAACTGTTACTACATCGAGGTGCAGTGCCACGTCTTGTTGCGATCCTTCTCCGTTATCCGGATAAGGAGGCCCTGGAGGACGTGTGCCTTCAGACCCTGTGTAACCTCAGTGGTATGGGAGTGGCAGAAGAGGTGGGGATTATCTGGGAGAGGGGTGCATCTGTGAGGCCAGGGGAGTCTGTGTTCCATGGTGTCTGTCCTCATACCTGTGGTTTTACCTCATCTGTGACTCTGATGCATGTGTGTCAATGGGCACCAGGTCAATACACGGTCAACATTGAGGTTTTCCAGCGCTGCTGCTCCTCCTTCTGGAACCTTCACAGGACCAAACAGACTGCTTGTTGGTTCCCATTCTCTAGTTTGGGAAGTTGTTTAAATCTATACAAGGTGATCAAGTTCTCTACAAAGAATATTCCTCGAACACAAAGTCTGAAGAGCCATGTGTTTCACACTTTCCTCTGACCGCTAAAAAGCTGCAAACATAGTGGCTTAACCTAACTGGCATACAAGACTCTGAGTGGTTACTATAACCTCTCTTATCATACCACCAGTTACTGACATGCACCAGAACACCTCGCTTACACAAAATAAACCTGAACATCCACAGTTGGATATATTCAATCTGCATTGTTGTTGATGCTTGTCTGTTCTTTATGTTGGAATTTCTTGACTCACATAGAAAATGACTGTTTGGTTCCAAAAAGTGGGCTTTACCACCCACCTACTGCAGGTTAAACCCAGTTAGTGGCAGCTCATTTTAGTTATTACTGGGACTATGCCACATATTACTATTTGTTTTTAAACAATAATGAAATCAGGGATATGCGTCTATCAGTTTGTACACGATTGATTGAGATGACTGGGAATTTCTATTCTAGGCAGAAGTACTGAGATATATTTTCTAGGTTGAAAGTCACAAGTACAGTATATTAGTTTTATTATGACTGATTTTTACCCTACATTTGTGATTAGTTGCATATGTTCCACATTCACTTTAAATAATCAATACTTTGGTTTTAAAGGAATATGTAACAACTATAACCTACTGTATGCTACTGATAGTCTTAAAAAGCCCATCATAACATCTTTCACAGCTGGAGAGCCCAAATCACAAATTTATGTGCACAGGTTTAAAAAAGCAAAGTAAACAAACAAAATGTTACCCCCAAAACCTTGTGTGTGTGAATGTTGAATGCCAAGAACTGTTTTTACATGCGATGCTTCCCTCTTTTCTGTCAAACCCGTCAGTGCTTTATTTATTCCTAATCGCCTGCACCATAGGTCCCCTATCTTATCCCTAACCCTTTCCTTGAAACAACAGGGTATTGCATTAACATAAACCCCAGGAGATGACACACTGAGAGCCCACCACTGATGCAACATGGTGATTACAGTGATTACCAGCTGGTACACAGGCCGACGGCCCTAGTCTCACAATGACTTGACAAAATTTCACTTGGCTTAACATAGTTTCTGTTGTCAGCTAACAAGCCTGCAAATGTTTCTGTAATTGTCTCTGTTCTCACACACAGCAGCGGTGGTCAGACTGTCAGGGCTCTATTATCAGAGAGCAACACTAGATGGCAGATGTGTGCTTTCTGGAAACCCCTGTAGTCTTTGTACATTTTAAATATCAAAGCCACACTGAAGGGAGTTTGTGACTTTGTACATGTCCCTGATTTGTATTATTTACATTTGCTCATATGAAAGTGTAAAGTTAAATCCGTTAAATAGTCACAAATATGTCCTGCTCTCAATCCCATTTCTTTTGCTCTTATTGGTTCCATCTCGTTCCAGACGTCCAGGGGCATGACCTCTAATCAGTTCTAACTTTGGTGCTCTGGGATCATCTTAAATATTTGGTATGATAGGGGTGAGGCTTTGGAATTTGTTAGAGGTTGACAAGAAGTAGCCTATACCTGTTCTTGACTAACTGTTTAACTGAATAATTGACTGGTTCACTGTGCATTTGTCAGAGTGAAACAAAAACATATTTTCATAAGAAAACAGCCAGGCTAGCAGCTGTCGCTACATTTTTGTAACATGAGATAATCAGTGCATTTGAGAAACAGGTAAAATAATCTTTTTTATTGTGCAATAATGCTTAGATGCATCTTTGAGGGTTTTAGTAGACTAATAATGTCAAAACAGCGTGCATGTTGTAAACAACCTGGCTTTTACAAAGGTGACTGAGTAAATATTGTTTGTAAATTGGATGCTTAGCACTGTGACTTGAATAATATCTATACAAGTGGCACAAACTAGGTTTAATTCATAGTTACTTCAACAGTGTTTTGACTCTGAGGATGGTCCACTGAGAAAGATGCAGCTGGATGAGGAGCAAATGACCACGTTTTCCTTTGTGGTGAGTCATCACTGGCTCCTCACATACATGGTGGGAACAAAAGCTAGATAGACAACTTAGTAGGTATCTAAGCTAAATAAAATAAGATGTTAGTTTCTTTTTTATGGGTACTGAGTTTATTTCAAGTAGCAGCTTATTGGTTAATTCAGAATTACTTTGATATTAATATTGCTTTAGTTAACAGAAGCTAACTGGTTAAATTTGCCAGCAGCTTTCGAGGCATAAAATGGTGAAAGGTGAGAAGGCGCTGGTGACAACTTTGCTTTTTATGAAAAGTGACATTATGCAGTAATGTAATAATGTGGAAAGAGTTTTACACTGTAGTTTCATATGGCATAGGATGAAAACAAAAGTCACCATGGCCTATTGCCACACAAACATCAAGAAAATATGGTCTTAGTCTATGCACAAATATGCGATTAAGTCTTTAATCAGTAGCTCCACTTCCACTCCATAACAGGAGATGCAGGGAGCATGCATATATTACTTTTAATATAAGACTTATTAATAATACATAATGAACTTTGCATTATATGCCCTCAAACCCAGATAACACAGCTGAAGATTGTTTTATTGCTTGTCTTTGCAAATGAGTCATTTAAACTTTAATTCTGTTTTCTGTAGAAACAACTCTGTGTAATTGCATTAGGCTTTCCTGATGCGATTCTAATTACTGCTTTTGTCATTTCTCTATTGTGGCCTCAGCTATTCTTGGCGTCCTAGCGATCGACAGTGATCACCCATTACCTGACTACCAACACACACAATCAAACCAGAAAATATAGGCAAATATAGAGCTGCAGATTGGATATAATGCTGTACACAGGCTGTCACACACAACGTAATCGCTTTGATAGATCCTTCCTCTGGGGCTGGCTCACTCTCTTTAAATATAACAGATTTAACTGTCAATCAGATACCAGAGCCCTGATGATCTGACACGCTGCTGCCTTTGAGTCAACCAGATTCTCACTTACAGACCTCTGTAACAGGTTGTTGACATCTATCATCAGCAAAGAGCAGGGATTAGCATTAACTGGTCAATTGTTCAAGTGAGGTTTTGAAGAGATCCACTTGACTGTATTGTGTGCCATTTTTACCAGGGACAGAGCTTCTGCGAAGAGTTCAGACAAGTCTGGGGAAAGTGATATCAGCAACCTGTCTCATGAATCCATTTAGAAACTAATGGAATTAATACTGGTGAGTTAAAAACATATCAAAAATTTTAAAGTGAGCAAATATTCTTTTTCACAGACATTTCAGAATTTTTACCAACGTTTGCCCACTAACGACATCATAAAATTAGCAATGCAACTATATAAATAGGAGAAATGTTAACAAGGTAAACAAAGCAATCATCCTGTGGACGTCCACATCCCGATTGACCCCTGTACATGCAGCACCTTTGCCGAATGATGTCACCATCCAGTGCAGTGAAAGTTGAACCAGATCCAGTTTTTTGCTATACGGGGTTGTGACATTTTGCCAGATCCCCCTGTGGTGCTGGTGCTACCCTTAATGAAGATGCTACAAATGTTCTGAGTATGATTGTCAGTCTTTTGTTCTCTACTAAACTAGAACAGGTATTTGTGCATCTTTAATTCTAGAGGTATAAGCCTGACATCATAATTCAAACACATCCAGCACATTTCCTGAGTAGCAGCAACATTGATATTAAACAACGAAGCATAAAATATTATTTTGTTGCCTTTTTCATGTAGGTTGACATACCATCTAGTGTCAGCTGAATGCTGACACACTGGTGTTTGCCCTGTCACGGTACCAAACTGTACAAGGTTATGACAAGCAGATGTTAAACTCAGCACCAAACACCACGGAGCCTACCGAGTTTGAGACATCTTATTTTTACTGAGGGATGTCAAGAGCTGAATGGTTGGTTCAAACACAGGCTCCTTCTCCTTCTGTATCGACATCACAGGCAAACACGGCACAGGTGTAGTTCTTTCCTGCTGCTCTGAGCGACAGAATAAGGCTAGTGCTGGAACAGGTGACAACATCCCTGACCAAACACTGAAGCTGTGCTTCAGGCTTGTGTGTGGCTGTGCATGTAAATGTGTGTGTGGTGGTGAGTTGGTGGCAGAGTAGGCCATCTGTCCAAGCCTATTACCTCCATCACAGGAGGGCCTTTCCTTCCACACACACGTACACAACCTGATAGATGTGGTGGCTCATAGATGGAGTCAGAAAGTCAGCGCATGGCAAAGTGTGAGCTTTATTTTCATGTGCATTTTGTTCAATGCTGTTGTGAAAGAATATTGCATCTTGACATTATCAGCAGGGAAAAGTGCAAAACACATGGTAAAGGGACAGGGAAGGACAAAGTGGTGGCGCGCAAAGATGACACGGCAGATGGTTGATTGGAGATTATCACCATGGGAAGAAAACACCGGGAAGCCAATTAGGGGAGGGGACTTTGGTGTTCAGAAGGTTGGAGAGCCAATCACAATTCTTCTTACTTGGTCATAGATTTCAGACTTTTAAAATGTGACCAATGAATATTTTTTTGGCCAAAATAATCAAACAAAAAGCCCAGATCTGCAGCCTTAATGAACACTTTTAAGAGCCGATTATGGCTGAGACCCTATAGTCTGAGATGTTCTTTTAATCAAGACTGGAAAGAACAAAAAAAAAAGAGACAGTCACGGACCAAGACTGAAAGACAAAGACTGAGGCAGAATGTAAAATGAGTTACACACAAAGCAAACAGCAAAAAAGAAAAGATATCAGCGGCCAGACATGAAAATCGAGCGCTGACTTTGAGAAAAACATCAAAATGGTCCTTGAACTTTTCACTTTCCTCAGTCTTTTAATCCATTTAAAATTTAGCTTGATCTCATTTTTCTGTCTCTGTTTTAGTAAAGGTCCAGATTCACTGTTTCCCTCAGTACAGGATGCGTAACTGTCATTCTGATGAATAACAACCACAGTGCTAGTAGGAATTGCTTTCTTTCAGCTTTTTTTTATTATAAAAATGTTTCAATAAAATAAATATAAAGAATAAAATACTTTATTTATGTGCACAAACCATTCACATAAGAAACACATGCACATTGTTATGGTAGCCCCCCTCACCAGGAGGGTGAGGGGAGG